CCCAACTGTGAAAGCATCTATGACTGATAGGTCAGATCAGCAAGGAAGATATGTTGAGGACAGAGAAACAAAAGCCCATTTCACGGTTCACAACTTATTTTTACGCTCCCGTACATAAAATGATGACGAGCCGGCTTCGATCCTCAGCTCACTCAAGGGCTCTTAAACAGTAATAGAGTGCCACGTGAACAGCCACCGAGTGACACTGGAGTGAGCTGCTTAATTCCCATCACCCAAACAGTGAAAACATACCATGCTTGGATTTTCATGTACGTATATGTATGTGTTTACATGTAAAAAGATCAATCTGGCCTTGCATTTGGGAAAACAGGTGATTAACTCTTTATTCCATCTTGAGGTTCTTGGACCAAGCTCCTGCCCCTCAAATGCCTTTCATACTAAGATAATAATTTATTCCATGGCATTTGGACATCCTCTTGTAAATGCTAGCATCTAAGGAAAGGGAATATGGTTGTTTTCTTCTGATCTGTCTCTCTGGTTGATTCTCTTTTGCTGGTATCAAATATGCCTACTGAGTTTTGAATTTCTTTTCTTTTTTTTTATTTCTAGAAGTTTCACTTGGTTCCTTTTCAAATTTTCTATGTTGCTCTTTATAGTCTCCTATTCTCTGAAGATACTTTCAAGCTTGTAATTGCTTTCTTTAAATATAACAAGCATAATTGATTTTATAATCCATGTCTGATAATTCTAATACTGTGCCCATCTGTGCAGATTGGATTCTGTGTTCTGTTGCTGGTCCTGGCTCATGTTGTGCTGTTTCCACGTATCCTAGGTTATCTTTGGCTGTGTGCTGGTCGTAGGCCTGAAAAATTTATTTTGGGTTGATTCCTAGAGACCTAGGATAAATAGGCCCTTAGGCCCTTCTACAGAGAGGCATCTCATTGTTTTCGCCAGGCACCTGGAGCTATCACAGGTAAGTCTGCTTCAAACCAAATTCAGGGTGTGAGGTTTCCTGGCCCATCCTGAGTATGGACACTCAGGTTGCAAATCCACACGAGGGACCTTCTGTGACCACAACTTGGCAAGAACTGTAGTTTGTTTCCTTTGGTTTTCTTCTCCTATTCTGTTCAGTGCCAAGGCTGTCTTCTCCATAATTTTCAAAGGCAAGTTTACTTCTGGTCCATTTTTATCCTAAGAATGTAGCTCTTTGGTACCCAAGTTCAATAATAATAATAATAATAATAATAATAATAATAATAATAATAATGAAAAAAATAGGAACTGTAGTGGGCCCAGGGCCTTAACTTTTTCCCTGCTTGCCTGCCCTTCTCAGGCTGTGGAAATCCCTGACTCTTGCCTGCAAAAGGGCTCTGTGAGATAAAAAAAGAAACTACTATAAAGTACCTAAGAGTTCAGAGGCTGGAAACAAAACAAAAAGTTAGGTTAGTAGGGTGGTTCCTCAAAAAAATGAAACATCATTTCATACAGCAATTCCACTTCTGGGTATATATACAGAAAATCAGGGACTTGAACCAATACTTGTATACTAATGTTCATAGTAGCATTATTCACAATAGTCAAAAGATGGAAACAACCCAAGAGTCCACAGACAGAGAAATGGACAAACCAAACGTGGTAGATACACACAATGGAATATTATTCAGCCTTTAAAAAGGAAGGCAATTCTGACACATACTACAACATAGAGGCATATTGAAGACATAATGCTAAGTGAAATACGCCAGATACAAAAGGATGAATACTGTATGATTCCACGTATATGAGGTTCCTAGAGTAGTCCAGTTTACAGAGACAGAAAGGAGAAGGGTAATTGACAGGGCCTGGGGGAGGAGGAGGCTGGTCATTAGTGTTTAATGGGAACAGGGTTTCAGTTTGGGATAATGAAAATATTCTGGAGATGGATGGTGGTGATGGTGGCACAAAGATGTAAATGTGCTTAGTGCCACTGAGTTGAGCACTTAAAAATAGTTATAGTGGTACATTTTATGGTATGTATGTTTTACCACAATGAAACAATTTTTTAAATGAAAGGTCTGACTAATTTTGTCAAGGGCTCCTAGGCCTATTCAGTGAATTTCACAACATGGCTTAATAGTGATCAATGGCTTAATAGTGATCAATGAACATCTTAGAAGTTAACTGCTGGGTGTTACAAATACAAGTCTGACCTCCCTAGAGCTTTGGAGGCCACATGCGGAACCTTCATCAATATGGGAAAACCAGCACTGCTTGTCAACAAACATACGCGTACATAACTACAAATTTCCCTTTCAAAATACAAATGCGGTACAATTTTCTTTGAAGGTATCAGGCATCAGGAATGGTACAAGGATAGTTATCTGGGTGTTGATCTATGATACTGATGGAACTGCTAAGTAAATATTAGGAAAAAATTGAAGGGATCAGAGAAACAAATGTCTCTAAAGTATTTCCATTGAAAGAATAAAGAAATTTCTTCTTTCAGTATCTAACACTGTTAAAGTGTTGCACTTCTCCCTTCTGAGTCACTACATATAATTATGTTATAGATCATATATATATATGTGTGTGTGTGTGTGTGTGTGTGTGTGTGTGTAATATATACCTATTATATAACGAATATATAACACATAGCTAAATATAAATAAGGCATGAGATCAATTGATAGTTAACATTTTAAGATACCAAATTTTTAAAATGTATTTCAGTAATTCCGGGAATCTCTAAATTTCTTCCATTTTAAAAAAATGAAACACTCAGAAGGTTTTATGGAACTTGCTGGGTATAAATACCAACACTAGGTAGTAGTAATACCATAAAATAAAAACTGGCAACAGTAGAAGTAACATTCTTCATTACGACTTCATGAGTGACATGTGCTGAGGGCCACTACATTGCAAATACAAAACGTTACCAACATATCTACGAATACGTTCATTCCAAATTAATAGCAACATTATTGCTTAGCACATGAGCGCAGGAAGGCTGTCACTGAATTGGGAAGACTCTCCCTACTTCGGACATATAGTGATAATAACTAATAGTTGCGCACTGCTTACTATGTGCCAAACACTGTTCTAAGCGCTATGTATCTAATCTATATATCTGCATCTAATTATCTATGTCAATATCATCTATACTATGTCTTTATACTTATTAATTCATTTATTCCTTACAACAGCCCTCTCGTTCCATTTCAAAGATGAGAAAGCCAAGGCAAAGGGGTCGCCCCTTTCACAGGGGTCGCCTATGACCATCGGAAAACAAAAAGATATTTACATTACAATTCCTCACAGTAGCAAAATTACAGTTATAGAGTAGCAACGAAAATAATTTTATGGTTGGGGGTCACCACAACATGAGGAACTGTATTAAGGGGTCGCGGCATTAGGAAGGTTGAGAACCGCTGCCCTAGGGCCTCTCCACATAAATACGGAAATTCAGGGAAGATGGCCAGCATTAGACACTGTACACATGCTATACAATTTAATTGTGATAATCAGGTTTCCACTTTTTTACAGCTGAGGAAACTAAGGCTCAGCAAGGTTAAGTTTATACAGAAATCAAAGATAATAAGAAAGGGAGGTGGGAGTGAACCCACATCTCTCTGTCTCCCAAGTTTTAGGACCTAGTGCAAAGAACAAAGACCCTGTGGACAGAAGTTATGTGAGACACTTAGTAAAGCAAAATCAAGGAAGCTGTGCTTCTGGCAGGAAGAAGAAAACACACGCCTGCAGGAACAGATAGCACAGAGTGGGCTGGTATCTGATGGGTGAAAACTGGGCGAGCAGAACAGGCGATAAAAGGGAAGCGGGTAGGCCCTTCAGGGTTGAACTTCCTCCAGGGTTCTGGGGTCCCTATCTGCCAGGTTCTCTCTCCCTGCGCTGTCCTAGACGTCTGTTCAACTAGCAAACACAGGCAGGGAAGGCAGGAGAATCTTCTCAAGCTGTACGTCTCAGGTGACCCTCGCACAGAGGTCCTTGTTCTAAAACTATACAGATCAGAAGGAATCCATTATAGTTTTCATACAGAAAGGGCTACAAATTAGGCAAAGCACCGGCTCCGATCGCTAGTGTGTGTGTGTGTGTGTGTGTGTGTGTGTGTGTGTGTGTGTGTTATTGTATTTCCACTTGTAACAAAAGTATTAGCTTTATAAACTTGAGGCATCTTTGTGAGACAAATCACCACATAACAGCCACTGTGATTATTACTTGTGTCTCCGCCATTTATCACTACTCACCTCGGCAAGGCACTGTGCACAGGCAATATGTAAGTTAAGCCTCACAAAAGTCGGCATCAGAGCTTCTGCAGAATAGCAAGTACCCATACCAGAGCTGCTTGGTATACTTGTTAAATCATGAACACTTGTGAACTCCAACCCAGCCCCACTCAATCAGAACCTCTGGGAACCAGCATTTTAAGAATCACTCCAGGTGACTACTGGCACGTGAATCCCCATTTTATGTACAAGGTATTACGGAGTAAAGTGACTGGCAAAGGTAACATCACTAAATGTAGGATTTCAACTCCCTCGGATTTCGGAATCTGGGCTCTTAACTGCTCTGGAGTTCAAGCTTCAACAACTGTAAGCTTGTGATTAAAAGCTGGCACAACAGTAAGCGAGATGGCCTTTAAAACCCAGATGTACCACCACCAGTCTGCACAATGTCATGTAATTTCCCAAACTATTATTCTCTACAAAAATACAGAAAGGTTTCTTATTTTAAATAAGAAAAAATAAATAATGCATTCTACTTCCCCTGAATTGAAGTATAACAATTCACTTCATTTCATCAAGATATATTGGGTTGTTGGGAAAGTCATGATGCATTTTTGCAACGAAAAACATAGAAAAAATACATCATGACATTTCTGACAACCCAATAGGTATGCTTTACTAATTTCAGTGCTTCATCAAATGGGCCTGCCTATTTTAGAAAAGCAACCAATCCCTGCAGTAATGAGACAAATGTGGGAAACTCAAAGCAGAGTGAACCGCAGGCGAGACAGGCAGAACCTGGACTGTAGCTCTCTCTTACCACAAGACGTTGACTTTCTGTCCACCAGATTCACACGCCGGGTTTCAGTGCGAAGTTTCTCATCTGTGTTCTCCACCAGGTTGGTAAGGTCATCAATTATCTCTAGATAGGAAAACAAGGATGCATGTTTAGTACCCCCAAAGACTCTGCTTCACATCAAAGTATCAGAGCTGCGGTGGTCCATCCCAGGAATAGTTCTCCCAAGCACGGCGAGTGAGGAGGTGAAGAACTCATGTGTGTTCTTTGAAAACTGCCATTCTGATTCAGAAGAGTGGGGGAAACAGTAGTAGTAAAGAAAAAGAACTGGTTTAACACAATTCCAGGAGACAGAGGAGAAATGTCAAAAGTTTTGGGGAAAGAAAGCATGACTCAACAAGTTTATCACCAGCCAAGCTGTCATTCAAGTTTATAAAGGTGATTGATAGACAGGATAGAAGATTTCAGGGACTACCAGGGTCCTTCTTAGGAAAACTACTTGATGAAACCTAGCCAACCAAGAGGTGAATACAAATAAAGAAGTTAGAATGGAGAAGCCAGAGACCACGGCATAAGAGATGATGGTGAGAACTGAATCCATTTCAATACCAAGCAGAGAAGAGACAAATACATGGATTAGGTTCCAGAAAGGTAGATAAATGTTATAAACAGTGAAGATGTAATTACAACTGAAAACCAGGAAGCAGTTGGAGTGGGGGGTTGAGGGGAGGAAGGTGAAAAGACATTGAAAGTGATAATTTCAGAGCCATAGTAAGCTGTGAAAAAGTAAATACAGAGAAACTTAATAGCTTTATAAAATCACCAAAGCATCAATGTTTTATGTAATTTTTTTGTTAACCTTAGATGGATCTTCAAGTAATTACTATCTCATTATAAAGAATTCTTTATGTAAAGTTTATCTTTTTTTTACACTAATCTTTTTAAAGTGAAATTAAGCACTTAACATTTAAAATAGCATATATAGAATGATCCTAATTATGATCAATTATCTGTCTATTCTTTTATATGTATAAACCTATGAAGATATTTCTGGGTGATGTTAACATAATGTTAATGATGATTATCTCTAGGTGGTGGGATCCTGGGTAATCTTCCTTGTATTTTCTGTATTGTTTGAACATCTTATAGTTGAGTATATATTATTTTTTTTCAACTTTGATTCTCTCTTCCTCCCTCCTTCCTTCTCTTCCTCTTTTTTTTAGTGAATGCTTTAGAGATACATTGACCAATACCTGTCACCATTTTTCTTAAAAATTAAAAAAAAACAAAAAGCAAGTTCCTGGAATGATGTTAGAGCTGAGTTTCGAAGCCTGTGTGGGTGAAGAGGCAGGAAAGGGTGATCCACGCAAAAAGAATGGCCTGTAGAAGCACAGAAGGGCTGGGTGCTCTCCTGCAGCACCTCCTATAGCCTTGTTTTACTTATAGACCCTTATATTTTTGTGTTCTAATGATTTGTTTGAATGTCTTTCTTTTACAGAAACTAACTTTTATTCATCTCCGTATTTCCCACCCCTAGGAGAGTGCCTGGTACACAGCAAGATAAAATAAATATTAAGTGACAAAAGCAATGAATGAATAGAGTCTAAAAGATAAAAGCATTGACTAATTTCAAAGCACTTTGCTGCTTCTTAGAAAAGTGGATCTAAGCCAAGTTCGTCAAATATTATTTAGGTAACACCTGTCTAGAAAACCTTTCACTGTTATTTAACAATTCATTAGTAACTCTCTATTCCCTTGTATTCAATGGCATACTCTCTCCCAGTTTTCCTTCCACCTATCTATAAGCTCTATTTAGGTTCTCCTCCTCCACTGAAATGCTGGGGATCCCAAGAGTTCTGTATATTTTTACTCTATAATACTATCATGGTGATTTTATATACTTTTTATTTCATTAATATTTAAATTAAAAACCTGAAAATTCTCTGCTCTACATAGCTCTCCAACATTCTTGACCCATAGAGCCAACTGCCTACTGCTTCTCTCTCTACCTGGAAATTCCTACAAACATCTGACTCTCAAGGTCTCTAAAACTAAACTCTTTCACTTTCCTCAAATAATGGCACCACCATTCATTTGCTTGCCCAAGATTGAAATCTTAAGAGTCACTTGACCTCCCTTCCCCTTCTCCTTCATTTGACATTCCATCTGTTAGCCACTCTAGTTGATTCTCCCTCCCCAGTATTTCTCAATCCCACCATTTCTCTTAAACTCTGGTACTAAGATCTCCCCAAATTTTTCCAGTGTTTAAAAGACAATGTCTAAATTTACCTTCCTGTTTCTACTCCTGAATCCTTTCAATTCACTCTCCATGCTACAGGGACATATGTTTTCATATTTCAATTAATTAAAATGTAAATAGCCACATGTGGCTAGTGACTATTTTATGGAACAACAAAGCTCTAAGCAATCCCTTTTAAAAAAAAAAAACACAAAAAACAAAAAACCAAAATATATACCCACACTCACTAACACTACCACCACCGTCACCGAGAGTTTAAAAAAAAAATCAATAGAGGTAAAAAACCTAAATTCTAAAAATGCATGATTCACTCAAAAGAAGGCAGAAAGGAGATACAGAGAAACAAAGAACAGACAGGACAAAAAGAACATAAATACCTAGATGGCAGACTTAAACCCAACTATATTAGTAGTCAATTACATATAAATGGAAAAACTGCTCTGGAAAAGACAGAGAATGGCAGGCAAGATTAAAAAAAAAAAAGACAGCTCAACTATACGCTTGCACAAGAAACTCACTTTAAATATAAATTGTAGAAAGTGTTTGCATGGGAAAGCTGGCATGGTTTTATTACTATCCAACCTGATAGACTTCAAGCCAATGAATATGATCAGAGATAAAAAGGAACTTTCCATCATGATGAAAAAAACACATGTGACAAAAAAATGGGAAAATCCCCAATATTTCAATATTAAGGAAACCACCTCTAAATAACCCACGGGACAAAAATCAAATCACAAGAGAAAACAGAAAAAGTTTCAAACTGAGTGATAATGACAATCCAAAATAAAAGTTTGTAGAATGCAACTAAAGCAGTGCTTAGAGGGAAGTTTATTGCTTTAAACACATATTAGAAAAGAAGAATGATGTAAAATCGATGTTTAGACTAAAGGAGATAATCAATGATCATTTCAATAAATGCATAAAAAAGATTTGACAAAATTTAGTGTTCATTCATGATATAAATTCTCAACAAACTAGGAATGAAAGGGAGCTTCTTCAACCTGATGAAGGACAACTAAGAAAAACTTAGAGCTGACATCATATTTAATGGTAAACATTTAACACTTTTTCTCTAAGATGGGGAACAAGGCAAAAAGAACTGCTCCGATTACTTCTGTTGAACATTTTAGTAGAAGTCCCACACTGTTTAATAAGACAAAAGAAGGCAAAAAAGATTTCAAAGAAAAATGTAAATAACGTATTTCCCCATGTATAAGACTCACCCTTTTTCGAAAAATTTGGGGTCTAAAATCTGGGTGCGTCTTATACAGTGGTTGTATAAGCACACACACACACACACACACACACACACACACACACAACAAGCGCAAAAAAAGCAGGAAATGCAAGTAAAAAACATCTACAACCACTGTATAAGACACACTCAGTTTTTAGACCCCATATTTTTCAAAAAAGGGTGCGTTTTATACATGGGGAAATACAATATGTGTATTTGTGAATATGCATATCTGACATGATTGTGTACATAGAATACTCTATGCGATCTATTTTAGAACTACTAGAGTAAGTGAATTTAACAAATCTGCAGATACAAAGTCAATTATAAAGAGCAATACATTTCTATATACTTGTGACAAGCAACTGAAAGTGAAAGTAAAAACAATATTACTTAAAATAGCATCAAAACCTACATCGAATACTTAGAAATACATCTGACAAAAGATGTGCAAGACCTCTATACTGAAAACTATAAAGCATTGTGGGAGAAATTAAAGATGACCTAAAATAATGGAGAGCTGTACCATTCATAGACTGAAAGACTCAATACTTTAAAGTTATGAGTTCATTTTCTTCAATTGATTTACAGATTCAATGCAATCCCAATCAAAATCCTAACATGCTTTTAAAATGAAATTGGCAAGCCAATTCTAAAATATACATGGAATACAAATGTTTAGAACTACCAAAATAATCCTGACCAAAAAAAAAAAATAAATAAAGGTGGAGGTATTATATTACCAAAATTCAAGATTTATTACAAATATATAATAATCAAGATACTGTGGTACTGGAATAAGGATTGACAAATTGATCAATGCACCAAAACAGAGCCCAGAGAGACTGTGAGCATTCAGTTAATTCTCAACAAAGTTGTCAATAATAACAAAATCAGTCAAGCAGGGAAAGAAAGTTCTTTTCAATAAACAATGCTGGGAAAACTGGATGTCTTTATGGAGAAATAAAAAGAATCTTTATCCTTTCCTCCCACCATACACAAAAAATTAACTTGAGATGGTTCATAGATCTAACTGTAAAACCCAGAATTATAAAGCTTCTAAAAGAAAAAACCAGAAAATCTTCATGACCTTGGATAGGCAAAAATTCTTGGACAGAACATAAAAAGTCTGTCTATGAAAGACAAGAAACTGGTCAACTGGCTTCATCAAAATAAAAATTTTCTGCTCATCCAAAGATACCATTACCAAACCTAATAAGCAAACCACAGACTGTTAAATATTTGCAGGCCACATATCTGACAAAGTATTTGTATCTAGAATACGTAAAGACATCCTATACATTAACAATAAAAAAGGCAAACAATCTAATTTTAAAACAGGCAAAAGATCTGAACAGATGTTTTGTAAAAGGAAATATACAAATGGCCAATAAAGCACATGAAAAGGAACTCAACATCATTAGTCATTAGGGAAATGCAAATTGAAACCACAATAGGTACCACTTCAAACCTACTAGAATGTTAAAATTAAATACTGGCAATATGAATTATTGGGGATGATTTGGCACAAAGGTAATCGTAGAAGTGCTTGTCAGTTTAATCGAGTTCACCGTATCGCTACTGTATGACCCAGAAATTTTACTCCTAGATATTTAACAAAAATAA